ATCTACATTTAGATTAACGAGAAGCGATCAAAATGGTGAACAATATGGATCACGGTTTGCCCAAGTTTTCTCTTCTAGGTTATGATGATTGGAAGATCATGATGGAAGCACACCTTTACGCTCTACATGATTGCATGTGGATGGTGCTTGAGGATGGACCCTTGAAAATCCAAATGGAGAATCCTGAGAGGAATCCAGCAACTCCAGACGTAGTCCAGTACATTCCAAAGCCCAAGGAAAAATGGGATGATAGAGATTGCAAAAAGCACAATCTGGATAACGTCGCCAAAGCAGCCATCTTCAAGACACTTGACCCCATCACCTTCTCCAAAATTAAGCACCTCAAGACTGCCATGGAGATATGGCAAGGTCTTGGGAAGCTATGTGAGGGTTCAGAGGACTTGAGAAAGCAGAAGATAGAAGTCCTGCTTGAGAAGTTCAAAAGCTTCAAAATGCTTCCCGGAGAATCATTTGATATGCTGGATGAAAGATTCCACAAAATCTTGAATGATCTTGCATCACTTAACCACGTTCTTTCTCCCAAAGAAAAGAATGTAAGGTTGCTGAGATCTCTTCCAACTGAGTGGTACACCAAAGCCACAGCCATGGAAGAAGGAAGAAATCTGGAGAACTACACTGTTCAAGGTCTTCTTGATGAGCTCAGAACCTATGAGCACGAGCTGAAGAAGAAGAAGGAAGAACAAGTCACTCCCTTCCCCACGGCACTGATGACAACTCCAAGAGTCCCATCAAGTGAAGGGACATGCCCAAGGAACTGTGACACACCCTCCTCCAGCCAGCCGTCACGTTCAAAAATGGAGAACTACGATGAGGAATTTGCCATGATGGTCAAGCAATTCCGGAAGTTCAAAAAGTTCTTCAAGAAAGCTGACTCAGTCAGAAGGCCATCCAAGGGAAAGCCACAGGTAAGTGACTCTCCTCCTGAATCTTATTTGTGTTACAATTGCAGGAAGCCCGGCCACTGGAAGTCAGCGTGCCCGTACCCAAAAGTGGAGAAGTACAGAGAAAGAGAAAGGAACGAGAAGAAAAAGAAGGCAATGGTTGTTGCTGAAAGTGACGAGTCATCCAGCTCAAGCTCGGATGAAGAAGCTCTCGTCTGCATGGAGCGCAGAGCTGAAAAGTCCAACCATGAGGATAGGTGGACCATGTCAGAAGATGACACTCTCTGCCTAATGGCCAAAGATGATGCTGATCAAGAGGTAACCTCACAAACCTCTTGCTCATCTTCTTATGAAAGCATACCAACTTCTGAAAATCTTTTTGACCAGTTCAAAAAGATGATGAAAGACTTTGAGGAGATAAATCTCAAACATTCTTCCTTAACAAAGGAGAACAAACTATTGAGTGAGAGAATCTCAAGTTGACTGAAGGTCGGAAAAGTCAACTGAATGAGATTACTCAACTCAAGACTGAAAATGAATCTCTCTCTGAAAAGGTGAAATCCCTTAACAAAGAACTAGGGACTCTTAAGTCAAAAGAGGCAGTGGATAAGCTTCTTGAAACGAACAAACATAAGGGTCTTGAAGGACTTGGGTTTGACTCCTCTAGCTCTAAAAGGAAAGGGAAAACAACTTTCATCCCTCCTAAACCTACTGCTAAACCAAATAAGCAGAAAGGGAAGGAAAAGGAAAAACCAACAAAAGTTTCCAAAAAGGTAGTCCCTCCTAAGAACTATAGGAAGCTGGACAAACCTCAAAAAGGAAATAATTTCAAAAGAAAACCTTCTAACCCCCATTATACACGAGGCTATACCCATTATGGGGGAGACAGGAGTTTTCCAAGAAATTCTGGAGAACTATGCCAAGATATAGTCACCCTCCACCTCAGAAGCTATTTGTGCCACCTAAGTATGCTTATAACCGACACAGGACACACTATGCACCACCTAGACAAAATCATAGGTCTTATCAACCTAGGTTTACTAGGAGGAAACAGGAAATAACATCTCCTGCACGTAGGAAGTTTTATGCCTACAACTATGATTACA